TAAGAATCTTATCTCTAAGCACAATTGATTCTTGAACTGTTTGATTGCTTGCTTATTTGTTAAGCCCTTCCCTGATTTGCCTTACCCTAATCTTTACCAGGGCCTGTGGTTTAGGAATTATTTTTATTTTTATGGTGATTATATATATATATATTTTTTGATATATAATGAAATTTTAACTATTTTATAATTACATAAAATGTCTTTGCACAGTAAATAAAATCTTTCAATATCGGTAAATTCATGAATTATGTTGTCAGGAAATTAAAGTGATAAGATACAGTGGTACATTGGAGACTTACCTCTATTACTGACTACCCTGCTTTCTGAGGCAAGTTACTCAGGCCTCAGGCCTCCATGTATAAAACAAGAGTAATTAGAAAGCTTTCAGGGTATTAGACTGCATCAGTGAAATGTAAATGTAGTTGAACTCTAATGTAATAATACCCTATGAATATGATGCATTTGTCAAGCGTAAGAATTTTATAGAAAATAAAACATTTTACACCACAGGGTTTTTTTGTTTTGTTTTGTTTTGTTTTGTTTTTAACTCAAAGATTCTTGGATCCCTGGCTAGTGTGGCTCATTGGATTGAGCGCTGGGCTGCGACCCAAAAGGTTGCTGGTTCAATTCCCCACCAGGGCACATGCCTGGGTTGCAGGTCAGGTCTTGGAAAAGGCAACCGATTTCTCTTGCACATTGATGTTTCTTGCCCTCTCTTTCTCTCTCCCTTCCGCTCTCTCTAAAAATAATAAATAAAAATAAAAAAGGGTTCTTGGAACATGTACAAAATTTAGAATTTGACAACCAGGTTCACAAGAACCTTATTCAATCTTTTTATACATCCAAAAGTCAGTCAGCTGTAAGAACCAAAAACAGCATTAAGTAAAGTGAGATATTGATACTATAAATACAGATTAGTATCATTTGTCCAAGCCATTGTGGGATTTTCCTTTGGTGAAAGAAGCAAACCCTGTAATAGAATGGCAAAGAACAAAAAAGAAAAAGGAAAAAAAGATGCCTGAAACAAGGAGACCTTTCAAACCTATGACTGCTTATTAACAGAAACAAGTGTTGAGAAACTGGAGGGATGGGAAGGGAACTGGTTTCACAGAAAAACAATCCTTTGTGCAAGAGTTTCCTGCAATAGTCGTCGGTGAGAGAGAGATGAGGGTTTCCTCTCGTTGGTGTCTTGGACCCAGGCCAACGCTATAACTACAAATAACCATTTAATGTAAAAATTCCCTCATCATCTTCCTCTCTCCCTTCTTCTCTCCCTTCCTTTCTTCCTTTCCTTCTCTTTCTCCTTCCTTTCTTCCTCTCTTCTCCCTCCCTCCCTCCTTCCCTTGTTCCCTCCCTCTTTCCCTCCCTCCCTCCCTCCCTTCCTTCCTCTCTTTCTTGTAAATGGGAACAATGTGTTTGGCCAACCAGGACGAGGCTTAGAAGGGAGAGATGGATGAATCCAGGTCCGGTGAATGTTTTAATTCCCTTGGAGGCAGGGGATTTCACCTAAGGACAATAGCTTCACTTCTGCCACACAGGATGCTGTCCTGTGCATTTCCCAGCGGCACAGGGCCACCCCTGACGCCTATGCTTTCAGCTGAGCTGGGAGGCGGTGCTTCTGTGCCTGGTCTTCATGTTCCCACAGGCTAACTTGGGAGAAGGGACTGAACCAGAATACAGGAACGCCAGCTTTCCTGCACAGAAAGTACCTGAGTTTTGTTTTTTTACCAGTACCCGGTACATACCCAATACATTTACTTGAATTTGGAATGTTCCCACCCTTGTAGCATGGCCCCTATAATCCAAAGTCAGGAGCTCCTGCATTATTCATTATTCAATGACCACTCGAGTGCCCACCTCCGGCCAGGCGCTGGGCTGGGCAGTGGACACACAGCTGGGGGAGGGATTCACGTTTTATATAAACAGGCAGAGCAAGCCCTGTACCGAAGACAGGCTTGTTTTCTAAGGAACACAGACAAGAAGTCGTTTCACTTGAAGGATTTAAACTCACTCCTCTTTGTATCACACGCACGGCACCGTTCTAACTTGGGTTCATGTCCAGCCCTTCTCCCTCCGTGGCGTCCTCACCCAACGTTCTGGCTCCTTCTTGGCCTTCTGCATTTTAAAAGCAGTCAATAGAGATTTTTTTCCCCCTGAAGTAAAACAATATACTTTTTTTTTTAATTTAGGAAAGCTTAAGAAAAGGAAAAGGCTGTGAAAAGAAAACCCTTGTGTGTAGAAGTAGTTCTTAACATTCATTCATACGTATCTTTGGAAACTTACCACACAGACACGCATTGGGCTAGGATTACGAGAGACCCTCCCTCATAGCCCTTCTTAATCGATTCTTACTTAATCGTATGGCTACTTAAAGGGTGATAGTACATAGAAATGAAAGTACAACAGGAACTTCTCTAAATTTCAAAATATACCTATTTTAATGCTACAAAATGGCCTGCGAATTTTAATTCCACTGTCCATCTTTACAAGGTAATAAACCTGGAATCATTCACATTGTGGAATCTTAACACACTATCCCTGCCTTGGTTGGTTACAGCGTGGTACTTACTTGTGCCTAAATCCAACGTACCACCCTCTTGACCTCTCAGTGGTTGGCATCCGTATGAAACTGTTCAAGTTGAATGGTTGTAAATGCTTCAAACCATTTGCCACTTTGCACAAGGTAGGAAGTTCCATTCTTGTAAGAGGTGCATCTCCAAAGATTTCCTTTAATCTAAGTGGTAAATCTTCAGACTTTCATGTTTCCCAAACTACAGAAGCATTTAGCTCAAACACAAGAAGACCAATTCCTCAAGAACTATCAGCAACAAAGTTCCTCTTATTTTGTAAGATATCTTCCTCTATGAAGGAAGGAACTGGGGGCCATAAGTTGGCCTCAGGCTCCTGGATAGTTGGCAAAGCTATAGATTAGGTCTTTTGGAACTATTCGGACCTGGTTTTGGCATAAGACTCAATACAAGTACACAGAATTGTGCTACTGTTTTATTTTAAAGTTAGCTTATTATTATAGTACCAGGATGCAATTTTCACACGTAACAGAATCCAAACAATTCCACCAAGTGCACTTGGTTGATAATTCTCTTAATTTTTTTTTAACTTGTAATAGTTCCCCTTGCATTTTTTAATGGCATTTATTTGTTGAAGAGATGAGGCCATTTGTCAGGTAAAATACCCCCACGTTCTAGATTGTTCTGCCGTTCACATAAAGTACACAATCCATCTGGAATTGGTTTTTGTATACCTTGTGCTGTAGAGAGCTATTTCATTTTTTCCATGTTGCCCCATGGATATCCAGTTGCCCCAACAGCATGTATTTAAAAATCTGTCTGTCTGTCTGTCTATCTATCTATCTATCTATCTATCTATCTATCTATCTATCTATCTATGCATCCATCCATCCATCCATCCATCCATCCATCTTGCAGGACTCTTTCTGGGCTCTGCATTTTTTTCCATTGGACAATTTGTCTAATACCGCCCTGTGTTAATTCTTATGAATTTGTAACAAGTCTTTAAACCTAGTAGAGTAAGGAGTCCCAACTGGTTCTTCTTTAAGGGTATCCTGGCTATTTTAAACTTTAACATTATCATGTAAATTTTACAATCAACTTGTCAGGTTCCATAAACAACCTATTAGGATTTTATTGGGGATGGCATTGAATTATATACTAGTAGGAAAGAATTACCATCTTTATGACATTGAGTCTTCCAATCGATGAACATGACACATAAATAGATATAATCCTCAGACTCAGTTAAGTGGGACCTCTACCCTGGACCACAATTTCAGGTCCTATGTGGACTCTGTCCCCTTCCCATGGAGTGGAGAGTTCAATGTGCCAATGGGATGTGTCCCTCACAGCCAACACTCCCTCCTCCAGCTGAAATATGGGCATCGAGATTCTGAAACATCTTTCCCAAAAGGCCTCAAATGCACTTCTAGGACCTGCACAGGTCTCTTCCCTGGGCCTGTCCTCCCAAAGGCAGAGAATCCACCAGTGTATGTCCTTAGGCTTAGGGATTGGTTAAAGGATGGTAGAGTGATAGTCAAGGAATATGGGTGTTATGGATGGAGCTTGGTCAGGTGGGTTGGCATGTTCACGGATGCACATGAAAGTCCCCTCCTGGTACAGTGTAAGATGGAGCTGGGGTGGGGGGCAGGGAGAGAAGTGGGGATTAAGGAAAGCACATAGGATGTGAGCCAGGAGCTCATATCCAGCACAGAATTCTGAAGAGTCCAAACTTCAAAATTCACACATGGCTTTCCAGGGAGTTATAAAGATACATTGGTCAACATAGGAAAGCAGGTTATATTTTGTTCAACCCTTTGTTGGCTATATTTATAACTTTTAAATATTTAGACATGAAATGCAGACTTCCATTTGTGTTCTTGCCATTGGCCTACAGAAAGTCAGGCCAGGGCTGATGATATATTGTTTTATTTTAATCTTCTTGAACTTCATTTAATAATAGTTTAAGATTCCCTGCATAAAGATTGAACATCTCTCCTAAAATTTATTTCTAGTTATTTGACTCTCTAATTCTATTTTTTAAATAGAAAAATTCATTTTTAAACTGTTGACCACACTTACATACATAGAAATTCAATTTTTTTTTTATGCTGACTTTGGAATCTACAAAACTGTTAAACCCTCCTCATTAATAACTTCTCTGCAGAGTCCTTTGGATTTTCTATATGAAATCTGTAAATAAGAATAATTCCCTTTCTTCCCAATTTCCTAATATCACATTTGACAATTAGTTTGATCTGTTCATCAGTTGGTGGAAATTTAGGTTGTTTCCACCATTTGGCTGTTATGAATCATGCTGCTAAGGAGCATCTGTAATCCTTCCCCTGCCTGCTCATTCACTCCACAACAGGCATCAGGACCTTTTGTATTAGTCAGGGAAGGCTAGGTTATGCTGCAGTAACAAGTACAACAAAATCTCAGTAACGTAATAAAATTAAGGTTTACTTTTAATCGTGCAAAGTCCAGTGCAGTTGCCGTGCTTATGGGTAGCTTTCTTCCAAACAATCATGCAGGGATCTGGGCTTCGTCCATCATGTGACTCTTCTGTTACATAGTTCTTCACTTCTAGACAGGCAGAGAAAAACGAGAGAGTGCAAGGTCAGGAAGGATGCTCTAAGGCCAGACTTCTGAAAGTAAGATGCATCACTTCCACCTGTATTTCATCAGCCACGCTTCAAGCACATTCGCTCACCCGGATGCTGGGGGACTAGGGCATGTACTTTCACTGTGTGCCCAGGAATGAGAGCCAGAAATGGGTGGACATGCTACAAGCTGTAAACACACTCTCCTTGGTTTCCTTACAGACCCATTGTTAATGGGGCCACTGTCCATTAACCCGACGACGTAATAAAGTTTTCCCACCAGCTACTAGTAAGCCACTTCCTAGTGGCTATTGTTAGAGAAGCTGTCTCCCAGAGCCTTCCACCTTCAGGGTAGGCCAACTGATTAACTCTTGCGGAGCCCATAAGGAGCAGAGTATGGGGGAAGAGTGGGTGGTTGCAAATGGCAGAATAACTTAATGACAATTGGACAAACGACTTGCTTCTAGTTTTGTGCACCTATGATCTTCCATATGCCATTTACACTTGCCAAACTGAACAGAATCGAGGAAGAAATCTGAAGCTCAAACTTCTTCTAAATCAACTTTCAACCACTCCTCCTGTTTTTAGCCCCTCTTTTGTCTCCTTCTTCCAAAGATGCCTGGGACCTTCTAATTGTGTTAGTTCTACGGTCTAATTTGGGGTGTTTCTTGGCTTTCCTCACCGCCAACTTAGGACTCAGCCTTCTCAGTCCTGTTAGGCAGCTTGCCATTTGCAAATCTTATTTCCAGGTCCTAAAGTTTTATATTCTTGTTTTATTTGCCACCTCTTTGATCTTGATGGTTTTTATGCCAATTTTTAAAAAAATCTGATTACTGTCTTTTTTTAGTGGCATTTTGGAGGAAACAAATGTCTGCCATTTTACCCAGAAGTCTACCTTTGCTCTTTAAAGTTCTGACCTAAAAAAATAAAGGCTGCGGAGTCTGTGGTCAAGGTGCACCACTTTGCGGCCATGTGCAATTCAATTCTGTGTATCCGAGGGCAAAGCTCATTTTCACCCACTGCCAGCTACAGCCATTCACTCTAGGAGGAATGTGGTGTTTGTAGGAGAAAGTTTTCTGCTTGCTAACGGCTCTAGTTGAACTGGAAATAATGCTGTCAGTGGCAACCTGGGGAACTCAACTCTATGACTGGGTACTATGATCAGAATGTGTCTTTTGGGGCTCCTTGAAGTGCTTCCTTGCACACTTTTTCTGAAATCTTTTTATTTCCACTGTGTGACTCTATTTGTGTAATGTCACCATGTGCAAATGAATCGTATATTTTGGTGTCAAATATTTCTTAGTTTTCCCATACAGTACAACAAAAAAGGATACCAACAAAAGGATGCCAAGAGATCAATGAGTGATCCAACCACTTGCTAAAAATTAAATTCAAATAAGGCATCCGTGACAAGTAAGATCAAGTAAAAATAAATGCAATGATTTTCTTCTCCCAGAGGACCGACAGCCAAACTGAGGGAAGCTAACTAGTTGAGAGCGCATGTCCCACCACCACCCCCCACTCCGCCACACCCCCACCCTCCCGCCCCAGCAGCCAGTCCTCACCAGTCAAGGGTGGGGCTCAGGGCAGCAGAAAGGAGTACCTCACAGAGCAAAACCAGGCAATGGGAGTTGACGGCATCCAAAGGGCCACATTATTAAATGGGCAGTTGGCAAGAACAAACGAAGTTTATTCAGTATGTTGATAAGCTAAGTTAAAGAGAGGAATTAGCTAGGTCATTAAGACACTGCACAAACTGGTCTCTGGTGCTTGAACATAGCATGAATTGTCTACAGAAAATTAGCAAAGGTGCCAACATGCATGACTGATTGATGGCCAAGTGGGGACATTTTGTTTCTTTTGAAAACAAAGCTGGAAACAAAGTTTTGGTTTTTTTAAATGTAGAACTGGTTGGATCGGTGAGCTATTACTGCCCACACCAAGTTTTCTCCTAATATTTTTGTGTAAATATAATCATAAGGACACCTTCTATTAGCCCTAAATTCCTAAATTGAAAGAGAAAGTCCTTACAATAATCAGGAGAAGTAAATTCAATAGATACTATTAAAATCTCCTCTGGCTTTGCTCACAAATTTGGTTCTTCAATCAGTGAATTCATGGTGCTTTCTTCTCCGGTGGCTGGGAATGTTTTCGTCAGATCTCATGAAATAGTTCTTCCACAGGCAGGTGAGATTTCCAACTCATTGAAGTGAGTAAACACGCTTCTTTCAAAAGAATGTGCCCCGGACGTCGAAAAACAGGGCTCGAAAGGAATTGTTAAGAACCATTAGGCTTATTAATATGTTAATAATAAGAGGGGCCCTGGGAACTCTAGCCCTTCGCACTAGAATTCTTAGCTTCCCAGGCGAGCCTACCTCCAGGCTAGAATAATTTAGTCACCTGACTTTCCTATAACTCATTATTTTTGGCTTCATGAGGCAGCATTCATGCACAAGTAGTCCTTTTCCATTCCCCAAAAGTCTTTTGTAGGACACCGATCATCTTTTCTTTTTTCCCCCCAGTACTTTGCATGAAGTGAACAAGAGCCCCTGGTCCTACGCAGGTCTCATATACAAAAAATAGATACAATTAGGATTTTGACTTCTCTATTCGTTTCAAATACATTTGGGTTTAACACTGCTATTTCTGGGTTTAGCAAGACATAGCTCTCCCTTGAAACTGACTTATTAGACCTGATCACTTTATAGTGTTTTGGTTTTTTTTTAATAATTATGGTGAGGACGTTGTAAATTATCCTAGAGTCAAACCCAATGTAATTGTTATGGAAAGTCACTTTCATTATTTTTAAAAAAAACTTGAGTTTGTTAAACATTTAAAAAGATATTAGGAGTGTGTATATTTTGTATACTAAACTATCAGGCCACATTTATATAATATTTAATGCCCACCAACTAGAAAGTGTGTTATTGGGTTCACATTTCCTAGCACTTATATTTGTTTGTTCTTAACAACTGGAGGGAGGGAAGAGAGAGCATTGGAAAGTTTGCACTGTGAGTTATTTCATTCCATTTCCTGTAAAATGAAAGCCCTATGACATTTTCAGGGCTGCTGTTTATTTTGGGATGTGAAGGATGTTAAAATTCTTTGTGTTGAAACCACACCATTTATGAATGGCATGAGACAAAGATCCATGGCAGGCTGTATGTGGTGAGGCGGTCTCGACCGGAAGGAAAGAGGCTATCGAGTTACCAGAGTCAAGAGCAGGTAAATGCACCTGGGTTGGCAAGCTTAGGGGAGGCTGCTGAGGAAGGCTGACAGCCACTGTTCCCTCTCACCTGCCCGAGTCTGTTCAACCTGAAGGGGCAGAGTGTTTCTGCCTTTATTAGTGTGAAGAGAACAAACTCCAAATTATGCAAAGGAGAAAGTACATGCACTGTTACAAGCTTTTACACAAAGAGAAATACCTGATACACAGATGTCCAATGAAAACACCTTGTTTCGATCAACTGTTTCATGTCACTTATTTTTTTATTGTTTTATTCATGTGTTTCACTAAAGTACTTCCCTGAAACTCACTGGTCTTTACAAAACTCTATTGTAATAGGAATGGTCTAAAAATTACTTCTTTTCTTTTTTTATTGAGGCATAATTGACATACAACATTATATTAGTTTTAGGTATACAACATTATGATGAAATATTTGTATGTATTGGAAAATGATCATTGAAATAAGTCTATTTAAAGTCTGTCTCCATATATAGTTTTATTTACTGTCATACTTTTCTTTCTTTACAAATAAAAAATAACAAAAAAAATAAAAAAGAAGTTAAGGTTAATTATATAAGTTTCTATACTAAAATCATAAATACACCCCTTGCTATTCAACCACATGAGATTCAAATTAAGAGGAAACTGGTCATCTTTACTGAATAATATAATATGATGCACCTTTAAGTAGGATAAACTAGTAGTAACATAGTTCTTTATTTTGCATATTTAAGGCCCCTTTTCTTCAAATAAGGATTCCAATATATTTGATTATGTATGTGAATGTGAAATCCCTAGAAGAGAGAGAAGCTGACTCATATTTAAAGTGACAGGATTTCAATTTTTCTAATAGGCTATCGAAGTCATCATACCCTCCTAATGAAATTCTTACCCAGGTTATGGTGTGCAAAGGTGAAATAAAGAGATGAACTTTAAGAGAAAGACTTCTAGATGTTGAATGCTCAGTATTTCTATTTTTTAAAGATAGATAAGTACACCTACACTCACACAAGCATCTGATTTTCAACAAGGACCCCAAAGCAATCCAAAGGGAATTTTAAAAAATGGTGCTAATAAAACCAGAGAATCATAGGGAAAAATGAATCTTGACCCCAACTCACATCAAACACAGCGATATTAATTAGAGGCAATCATAACCCTAAATAGTAAAGTTGATACCATGAAGATTTAGAGGAAAATATAGAAGAGGATCACCATGCCGTGGGGGCAGGCAAAGGTGTTTCAAATAGATAAGAAAAAGTAATAACCATCAGAGACACAGAGAGAAGTATATATATTAGATATATGATATTAGACTTCATCAAAATTAATTTTCTGCTTATTGAAAGAGGACTTTAAAAAATATACAAGCCATACATTGATAGCAAATATTTAGTAAACATATATCTGACAAAGAACTGCTATCTAGACTATATTTAAAAAATCCTAATTTAATAGGGACAAAACCCAACAAAAAATGAGCAAAAGGTTTTCACTGACACTGCACAAAAGAGGTGTTTGCATGAGTAATACACACACAGACATGCTCAACATCATAAGTCATCAGAGAAATGAAAATCAAAGCCACAATGAGATACCATGATACAACCATTAAAATGGCTAAAACAGAAACTAACATCAACTGTTGGCAAACTGTGGAGCAACTGGAATTCCCAGACGTTGTTAGTAGGAATGTGAAATAGTACAAAACTTTGGAAAAGAGTCAGGCAATTTCTTATAAAACCAAACATCCATCTACTGTATAATCCGGCAATTCTGATCCTAGATATGTATCTATAATTATACATACTCACAGAAAGATTTGTGCAAGAATGCTCATAGCATCTTTATTTGTGATAACTCAAATGTTCATCTAAAAAATAAAAGACATAAACTGTGGTTCCTCCAGATAATAGAATATTACTCAGGGAAAAAAGAGAAAGAGAAAAGAAACAAATGAAATACACTTCTCGTTCATGTAACAATATGGATGAATATTAAAAATATCCTGAATGAAAGAACCTTTATACAAAAGAGTGCTCACTAGTTGATTCTATTTAGATAAAATTCTAGAACAGACAACTCATTTACCATGTGAAAAAATAAGAAATCTTCTGGAGAGACGGTAATATTCTGTATCTTGACTGAGTTTGTTATATTTACAAAGATGTATACATTGTCAAAAGTCAGTAAATGTACACTTAAGATTTATGCATTTCATTAAATATAAATTTTACATCAAAGAAAAAACTGTCTCTAGCTAATGATATGCATGTTGAAGTATTTAGGAGAAATTGTATTGATGCCTGTAATTTATTCTAAGAAGGCTCAAAATATAAGATGGACTAACGGATGGACAGAGGAGGAGAAGGAGATGGGAAGAGAAAGATTGAGAGAGAGGAGAAAGCAAGTAAAATATTAATGGTAGAATCTAGATGGTATATACGATATAGAGGTATATTGGTCGTCTTGGGCTGCCATAACAAAATACCACGGACTGAGTAGCTTAAACAACCAAAATTTACTTACAGTTGTAGAGACTAGAAGTATGAGATGAGGTGCCAGCATGATTAGCCTCTGATGAGGACTCCTCTCTCTCTGAGTTGCTGATAGCAGCCCTCTCACTGTGTCCTCACGTGATGCAGAGAGAGACTGCCTTTTCTCTTCTAAGGCCACCAGTTCTATCAGATTAGGGCCCACCTTCGTGACCGCGTTTCACCTGAATCACCACCTGCAAGCCCTTTCTCCAAACACAGTCATACTGAGGGTTAGGTTTTCAACATACAATTTGGCGGTGGGGGGAAGGACACAATTTGATCCATAACAATGGATGCACATTGTAAAACTTTCAACACTGCTATATATTTATACATTTTCATAAGAAAATATTGAGAAAAAATAAGGTGGAGCTGTAAGAAAAAGAACTGGTCTTTCACTGATTTTCAGATACACGACCACCTTCCTAATAGTATTTTGCAGAACTGGTTTCTGATGAGACTATCTGACAATAAATAACTGACTCATGTGTTCAGTCCATTAAAAGATAAACCAGGATGGTATTTTTTAGTGTCTCTAATTGTCGAGGTAGAAGAATGGGAGGGAAACCCCTTAGGTCAATACATTAAGAAGTATCCATTGAGCATTCACTACCTGCACACCCCGCGGGACACAGAGACGTGAAGACCTAGACCTTACCTGCGGGCCCATCTCATCGGGCAGCCTGAAGAATGGAGCCACGCTCAGGCCTATAGACGAGGCTGGTGAAGGACAAATGATCATGTGCTTGGCAGAGCCTTCCAGGCCGCCTAGGCTCAGCCCAGTTGCTCCCTGCACACTGATCTTCCTCTGATTTCCTCTTGCCGTGGGTCCCTACGCAGGCCGTTGGCTCTCTCTGCGAGTCTCTTCCCTTATACCGCACAAGAGAATTCCCCCTTGTTCATCAAGCCTCAGACCCAGCCCGTTTTCTCAGGGACATTCTCCCTGACCCCGAGCTCAGAGCAGGTTCTTTGTTTGCACAGCCTCTGAGTACAGTAGTCCTTTATTCAAGAGGAGTCGATTCACATAAATACACTTATGATTTACATAAGTACATAGTCATTGGAGGAGGAATCATTTGAATAATGTCTGTATCCTCTGCTAGATTTTGTACTCTGTGATAAATAAACGGTATTACTTTTTAAATTCCAATCTTATCCCCAGCAATTAGAACCATCTGCTACAATAGACAGTTACATAGGAAAATACATAGAAAGTTTTGGGTTTGCTGCTTCTTTTCTCTCAATAGGAAAGAGAAAAACCCACATTGTTATAACCATATGAATGTACTGCCAGAATAGCTTCTTAATCAAATAAATTGAAAAGATTTTTTTTTAAGTCAGAAGAAGGAAAATCTGTATAGAATCATAGAATCTTACATTGGAAGAAGCATTATGGGTCAACTGGTCCACCTATGTTCACCATACAGTACTTCTGTCAGATCTATTGATGGCCTTAGTCAATTATTTTTAAAAAGCGCTATATATATCAAAGTGTTGAAGAATTGAAACAGAATCAATTCTCAATACTTCAGAAACTGATCATTATATAAAGCATTTAGTACAATGCTTGATTCACAATAATAATTACAATAATTAGTAGTAGTAGTAGCAATATTACCAGGAAATCTCTAAGTTGTAGTGTCTTATTTTTGAAAAGAGCACAGGTTTTGGACCATAAAAACCCCAGGATTAAATCACAACTCTGCCACTTACTAAGCATAAGGCTTCAAACAATTCACTTAGTATCTCCAAACCTCAGTATTTTATATCCTGGCATTCCATAAATGTACTCAATATGATTATCATATAACAACTACAATGAGAACCAATAAGAATTTATGTTTACTCTCAAACAGCCCACATTTTAGCAGGTAGTGAGATATAAACTCCAGTTCTGTGTAATAGATGAATCAAGAAGGATACCACGAAGAGGAATGGGAGAGGAACTCTCAGATCTGGCCTGCTGGCAGAAGAAAGAGTTCTGCTTAAAAAGTGAATGAGCCCAGGCCAGTGTGGCTCAGATGGTTGGCACGTCATCCCATAGACCGAAAGGTTGAGGGTTCAGTTCCCAGTCAGGGCACGTACCCAGTCTGTGGGTTTGTCCCTGGTTAGGGAGCATGCAAGAGGGCAACCGATGTCTCTCTCCCCCTACCAACCCCTTCCTCAGGAGAGCATTAAAAAAAAAGTTAGTGAAAAGGAATCCCCCAGGCTGATTAAGAAAAGCAATCTGGGCAGAGACACGCTGTGAAGTGTTTTTGGTATAATCCCAGCAGAGCGTCCCCAAGTTGGGTGCGGCAGGAGAGGGCCGCAGATCCTGGGGTGTCGTGCCTGCTATGATAAAATACGTGGACTTCACACTCTAGGTGATGGAGAACCAGGAAAGGGCTCTTAAGAAAGGAAGAGACCAATGAGATTTATCTTTTAGGAAGTCACCTGGGAAGTCATATGGTGTCTGGGTCAGAAGGGGTGACGCTAGAGGCAGGGAGAGCAGGCAGGAGGTCTTTGTAACAGTCCATGGAAGAGGAGTTGAAGGGCCTGACCCAAGAAGAGCGGGGCGGACACCCTGGGGAGAGTGATTCGGAGGCTGGTTCGGGGACAGACTCAAGCAGGTGCGGTGAGCTGGAGGGAAGCGAGAGGTGCCACGGGGCTCGTGATGCAATCAAGACTTGCCTGGGGGACTAAGTGGGCCGACAGGTCAGTGTAGAGATGACAGAAGGAAAAAGGGCGAGGGAGGGAAACTGAGTGAAGGTAAGAGGTTTGATTTTAGACATAACTGCGTTGGCAGAATCTCTGAGCCATCAAGAGAAAGAGATGTCCATTAAGGACAAGAAAGCAAAGGACAGGGTCCGGGAATCTCATTCTGGGGTCAGGGGAGGAGTGTGACGTGGAAAACGACAAGTGCCAAACACAGAATGCCGGGGGTCCCAGCCCCCGAAGAGGAGATAGCGAGGAAGAAGGCGGCAGGCAGAGAAGCGATGAGGGCGGGGACAATGAAGTCAAAGGAAGGGCGCCTTTCACAAAGGAGGCCCTGGGAAGTGAAAGGGTGGTGGGAAGGGAGGTTGGGATAATAGACAACTCTTTCAAGATGCTGGTTGCAAACAAAAAATGAAGAAAACGTTCAAAACGTCCCCCAGGATATCTTTACATATAACTATGTCTTTTCCGAAATCTGAAAGAAACCATTCCTTGAGACCTGCTTCATCCAGGCAGAAAGACCGCGGGCAGGACCCCGCGTCCCTACCAGGTCACGCAGCCACCAAACACGTCTAAGGACAGCTACGTGACAGTGGAGGGTATAAAGGAGTCAAAGACACAGGTTTGCCTTTCGATACAGGAGAACGACTGAGGAAGCTGGGGACAGGATTGTATTTTCAATCTGTTTTCACAGATTTTGTATCTAGATTGAGACATTTAGAAGACAAAAAGCATGGCCTCAGGAGGGAGGCTAGCGCTCACTACCGTTTCCTAGAGAAGATTGGCCCTAAGGAGCAGCACTTCATCGTTTAATGTTGTGATCAAAAGAAAACTAAAGATTGCTCATTCCGGGTCCTTCCTGGGGCCGTTTTCGCCTTGTAGTCTCAGCACCGTTGCCCAGCAGCCCAACCTTTTGTACTGTTTCTTCCACCTGTACTTGCTCCTCCACCCCCACAGATTCTCAAACAAACCTGTGCTTCTCTGGAAGCCATGGACTGTATTTTAAAGTTCATATAGCAATGTCTTAGCAATTTTTATCCAAAAGAGGGCGCAGATTTCTCATGAAATATGGATCAATTCTGTAGTTCACAAAATTCGCTTGCTTCTAGTAATATTGAAATTTCACAGCTACTGTAATTAGATGCAGAAATATTGCTGCAGTGGCGTGTGCATGTGAATTAAATCCTATTGTTTAAGTGCTAATTACACAAAGAAGAGCCCTTTGCTTCTTTGGGGCAATTTCAGAAGAGACCCAGGCTATTGCTAAAGAAAAGAAAAAAAAAAAGAGTCAAAGCTAACATTTTTCTATTTTGTGGAGCCAAACCAATTAAGATAGGCATTTTAAAATTAAACATTAAACAGAATTTTTTAAAAAAAGTTTATTAATGGTCTTCTAATTTTAGGGTGTGTTTCCCTTCTTCCATGGTGTAAAGAATGACTAGGGAAGTAATCTAGTTTAGACCCTCTGTGTGCGTAGTTAATAGTGAATCATTTGTTTATTTTGTTTTGCCATAGGTGAAACTGTTGATGTTTCAAATACTCAGTATGTATGGCTCTTCTCACACAAGTGTAGCAGGGTGAGGGGGGGATGGGGAGGAATGACAGGAATTCCAATCTCAGCTGTTTCTTTAGGCTGAGTCTCCTCATGATTTGCATACCTTTTCTTGGGCTAATGATGTGTCAAAAGATGCACCGAAGGCCTGGTGGGCCTCCTAAAAGCAAGGTATGGAAATGGAAGGAAAATGCAAAGAAGTCATTTTTTTTCAATGATAGTGATGTAATATAGGTATCCCTTACTTAACAGAAAAATCTATTTAAACAAATTCTGCACTTCAGATGTATAGATTAAGGGAGGACCTAACTCCACAGATGGCACTTCCCAATTTGCAGGTCCAAGGCATTTATTAGCTTATTCTTGCTTCTATAACTGGCTTGCATTCCAGATTCCAGCTGCGCACATAACTAATTGCCTGGTAATTTGCTGGTGGGTGGTAACAATAAACACTGATCTAGGGGAAACAACACCATTTTGTTTGGCTTCTAGTCCCCCAAAATGAAACCAACCCCGAATCACTGGAACTTTATTTGCTGATGGATTAGTTGCATCCTCCTGGGGCAACAGGAAAACAGCACTAAGTGAGGGCAAGAGCTGAATTCGTAGTCCCTCTGAATGCTCTAGTCTAAAATGACATCGCCAAAATCGGCACGCATTTTTGTTAGGGAACTAACAGGACAACAAAAACTAAGCGTTATTTTCCGTTGTCATTTAATGACAAATCTACAATCCATTACCAAACTCTTTCTAAGACTTCCAAAGAAGTGCTCGTACCTACCCTATTTATATGATCATGGAGTGCTATAATTTGATTCATCACCCCACGTCTGCTGTGCCTGACTAAAATGTCCCTTCACCTGCACTCCGTCCACCGGCAAATTCCATGTATGGGTTCACCTTGGAATTCTCATGCGGCCTCTTGTCCAGCTTCCTCCTTTCTTGACTGTAAGATTTGATCTCATCTCCTCTAGGGCACAGTCTGGATCACATTTTCTTTTCTGGATTTGGGGAGCCCATGAGTCCTCCTCTTCCTCTGCCCCCCCCCGCCACAGCCAACACCCTCGTTCTTCTGCACCCCGTGTAACAACACTCCTAACCGCCTTAGATTCCATTTCTGCAGACCCCACTAAGAAGGCAGTTTTTAAATACTCAACTTATTTGATGATGCCAAACTTTGTGGAATTTCTGAAACGTCCTATTGCTTTCCAACAACAGAGACCAGGTCACCCAGCCACCAAACACGTCTAAGGACAGCTACGTGACAGTGGAGGGTATAAAGGAGTCAAAGACACAGGTTTGTCTTTCGATACAGGAGAAAGACTGAGGAGGCTGGGGACAGGATTGTATTTTCAATCTGTTTTCACAGATTTTGTATCTAGATTGAGACATTTAGAAATAGCACTTTTTTTCATTATATTTTCTCTGAAATGACCATATTCCATCGATACATGACTTTAAAAAC